TATATATATATATATATATCTGCAACTGTTGTTTTTTTTGTTTTTGTTTTGTTTTGCAAACAATGATAGGGGTTGGAACAAGGATGTTGTGATATTACTTATCTGTAATTCAATGTTGGGCATTCTAACGTAATAATATCTGTCCCTATACTGTACATGATGTCTATGTGATGACATTGTAATACATTTAGCATTTGAAATGTCTGTACTTGCATCACAATGTAAAAAGTCATCAGAATTACAAACAGAAAAGAAGCTTGCCTGGAAGTTATTGAGGAATATACACAAATTTGCAAGTGCAACCAGTATTTACATTGTACAGCCGAGAATGTCAGTGTTATGGCTAATGCCTCTATAAACATCCTTTTGAAAATCAGTAACTGTTGGAAAACATGGAAGAAAAAAAGCTGTACATGATAAAACATTCTTAGCTTTCCCCATGGAAAGAACTGCCAAAATTATATAATGCTTGCACAATAAATTTGAAAGCTTTTCACATGTATGTTTCACTTCTCCTGCTCTAGTTCAATGCCAATAAGTCGTCTGTATGTTCACTGTGTGAACTTGAGGTACAGAATTACCTCATACAAGTCTGTAACATGTACATGAACAATTTACGTTTTCCCTATGGAAAGAACTGAAAAAAATATGCTTGCACAACAAATCTGAAATGCTTTCACATTTATGCTTCATTCTTTCCCTTTATTTCAATGCCAATAATTATGTATGTTCACTGTGTGAACTTGAGGTACAGAATTACCTCATACAAGCCTGTAATGTGCTGCACAAATCAGGGTTTTCATTGATTTACAGACTCAGTCACCGCAAGGGTCTTATTTTCCTCAGGAACTTTAAGAAAATTACACGGGGAAGAAGTCGCAAATCAAAGACGCAGGGAAAATAAGCGGATTTCCAGTTCAAAGGCCGTTATTTTTACATAGCCCAGAGGGTCTTCAAAGCCTTATTACATGTATAATTCAAACGTTACTTTGATAGTGTACAACCAAATCAAATTTTCTCCCTCTGACGCTGAATACAGTGCTTTTATGATCAGAAGATATGTAGCTTTCCTTCATGTATTATACATAGTACGTTATTACACTTACCATAGCCTTAACTCATGTAACACAGGGGTATGTTTTACTTTACATCCGGTATTTGAACGCTAACCTACACTGACAGCGCAGCTTGACGGTAAAACCCGCTTTAGAAAATTAATTGAATTATTACCCCTTTACGCAGACAGTCTGTTCCGTGACCTTTCTGAACATCTGCGCAATTTGCTTCACTATCAGTGAAAATCAACACCACATTTATACTAAATTATAGGTACGGCATTATGCACAATTAAATACTGCAGCATAATATATGTCTAACAAGGTAAGCATAATGGTAATAAAAGACAATGATGAAGACGCAATTACTCGGCAAGATTCTACAAGAAAGGGGCAATCATCGGCCGGTTTTCTGCTATCGGAAAATGAGACTTTATTGGGATGTAATAGAAATCCAATACTGAGTATGGGGAAGGCTGACGGCTGTGGGGATAGATAATAAGGATGTGGGGTTTTGCTGCACGTTCTAGGAAATGGTTCGCTTAGTGGCCGATTTACCATCTGGCTAAGATGCAGAAATAGCATTCAAGGCCTTCTTATAAATATTATATCCTTCGAACTTTGATTTTCAATTGGACATTTTGTAAAACAATTGCATGTCTTGCCACAAACACCCTTTGTTCTTTTTCTACATCACAATAGCAGATGTCACTTTCTTTAAATAGCAAGTTGCTTTCTGTTTTCTATTTGTAATAAAATCCAAGTAATTTTTAGTCCACATTCCTAAAATTACTAGGAGGAATAGTCAATGAAAATGCACAAAGGCATATCGAGGGCTAGAAATTAACAATGATGAAGAAAACAAGACTTTCACAAAAATGGAGGTGTACCGGTACATCAATTTCTTGTTCCACGTACTTGGTATGAAAGAAAACAAGAAATTCACAAAAACGGAGGTGTGAACGTCAATTTCTTGTTCCATATATGAAACCAAAATGTCCTCTAGACCAGGTCTCCAGGAAAAAGTAATCATCCTGACTGTACTGTAACTTGTGTAAGTGGGTTGTTTGGGATTCCGCCAAAGCTCGGGGGTATATGTGGGCAGGCTGGTTATTACTGGCTGGGATATTGGAGTGTGTCTGTGTGTCACCTCAGAGGATGGGTTAGTCCACAGAGATCTCAGCTATAAGAACAGAGATTGCAAGAATGAATTGGATGGCACGGGAGTGTCCGGAATAGAACAAGGTCAGAGAATATCAAAAACTACAGTCTACTAGCCATGAAGGCCAAATTAAAATGGGGGTTATAAAATGTCTGGCTAAGTACTCCATAGCAAAGAGTCAGGAGATAGCCCTATTCCAAACCATGTACTTTCATTATATTAAAGTTAAACAGCTTCTCTGACCAAACTGTCCTCGGTGCAACTTCTATTGCAACATAATAGATTATCTATACTTTATGTTCAATCATTCAAGATTCTAAATAATATTAATACATGTAATGTATAGTTATAATTAAACATAGGGAAAATTTGTATTCTTTTTAATGTGCACTGGAAGAAATACAGGATGCCTTGAAATGCCCTCATTGCTGACACAATGCCACATTCGCCTTTATTAACTGAGGCCAGTGGTTACCTAACTGTAGTACTGGTCAGAGTTGAAAAACCACTTTCATGTTTCAGTTTTACATAGAGTATGCACTGCAGAAGACATATCACCGATTTCCAAGAAACTGCAGGCCTGTAAACGTAAAAGCTTTCAACCAGTCTAGCCAGACTACCAGTAACATACGTTTATGACATGCTATATTTAGAAGCTGCGAGTGAGGAAAGATGTGGATGGAATAGTGCCATTGATGGTCTGTGATTTCTGTCCAATCTCCTATATATGTAATGACTGTACATGTACAGTATATAGCATGCATCAGTCAAACTCAAGTCAAGTCCCTAATATTATTAGTAGTATGTGAGAGGCTGCATGGCATGTGTGTTTTTTTAAAGACGTACATGTAATCAGGCTTTTAAAGTCTTCGTAATCCGTAGGCAGTCACTCAAAATCAACGTAATTCGTAGTCAGTATGTTAGCCGTAACACGTAATTAGTCATTTTCATTCTACGTAAAGCATAGGCAATAACCTTTCTGCAACGTAAAACGCAATCCACGAAGTACATGTAACGTAATTCTGAGAATTTAACGTAATTCGTAATCGGCGGTGAAAATTTTGCGTAATTCGTAACACTGCAGTGCAGCTATATTGTAGTATTAAGACCTCAGGTTGGTTGCCTTATTAGATATCTGCCTGGGTAGCTGAAGAGACGATCGATTTCCAAGCTCACATGTTTAGAAATTTAATTAAGACAGTTGATTATTTCCCCCATTAGGGAAATCTTGTTAGCCTGGTTAGGTTTTACTATTTTAGCTCCCGGGTCTCATTCATCCTCTCTGCAAATATTTGCATGGAGGACGAATCTTGTAGGGTTATGTAAGCCCTAAATAACAATTGGAATCATTAGAACATAATATATCATTATGACCACATTGTCTGTTCTGCTGAATATGTCTCGTTACCAGTGTATATCATTTCTTGTTTTCAAGATGTTTGGTTGATTTTTTCTAAGGGTTGATTACAATGGACTCACAAGCCCTCAATATTTTGAACACGTTCTAATTAGGCAAAGCTATGTTGGAATGACAACCTAATTGGCAAAGCTGTAGTTTAACAAAGCATGTTTTCTAAGACTCACATCTGTCCAAATTAATGCCAACCAACATGAAACACAAGCAGTCTAGAACAAAATTACTCGTTATGCTGTATTGTTTTCATTGTTTGCTATCTTATGTGCATATGTCTTCTTAAGTACTCCTTGATTGTAAATACCAATGCCATTCAGACCTAATTTCAAGATATAGAAAGAAATGTCATTAAACTACCGGCAAAATTTGCCCTTCAAAATGCAGGAAAGGGTGTTTCAGAGGGTCAAGATTTCACAATTTCCCTGCAGAAGCATGCCCCAGGACCCCCTAAAAGATGTTCCATTTTGATGGAAACAAATTTTGGACTGGCCAGAAGATAGTAGAACACTGAATTGAATTGAAATGTACCAGCAGCTGTGGTATTGTACATGTAAGTGAAGATAATGTTGCTGTGTGCTGTGAAGGCCACTCCTCCCCTCCCATGACAAGACTTTCCACTTACCCACTTACAGACTGAGCCCTCTGGCCAGTCTGGGCCTGGAGCAATCATAAAGCAGCAGGCCTTTTATCCTTTCTCACTTCTGGGAATAACGTCACTCTGTTTCAAGACTTTTTTTTTACTTTCGCTAGAGCTTTACTGTACACATACACTTGCAAAGCTGTGCCTAGTTTTTATTCTCCAAGCTGAAATGTTCTCAAAATTGGCCTGGAGGAAAATTCATACTGCAGCAGGCCTTTTATCCCTTCTCACTTCTGGGAATAACGTCACTCTGTTTCAAGACTTTTTTACTTTCGCTAGAGCTACACATACAAGCAAAGCAGTGTGCCTACTTACTAGTATTTCTGCCGAAGCTGAAATTTTCTCAAAATTGGCCTGGAGGAAAATTCATACAGCAGCAGGCCTTTTATCCTTTCTGACTTCTGGGAATAACGTCACTCTGTTTTAAGACTTCCTTCTGTACTTTCCTTAGGTAAGGTCTATGTACTATCTCCTGCATTCTAATGCTATACATACATACAAGCAGAGCTGTGTCTATTTATTTTGCCAATGCTTAAATTTGTTAAAGATCAGCCAGGTTTTCGAAGATCCATGTACGTTCAGTCTTGTAGGATAGTAACTAGAAGCTATTGCCAAAAAGATGTCAATATTAACACACCAGTTAAGTTCTCTGCACATTTAACCTTTTCCCTGCTGCCTGAACTCATAACGGATACAAATGTAATGCCAAAGGTTTACCTTAGTAGGATAAAGGTTAAAAACCTTGGAGCTGAAAGAACAAAGTTGTGATGTACATCTGTAACGAATTTCACATGACATGATTTCGCATACTGAAAGGTTCATACTCATAGTTCTACTGAAAATGTATCATCAGTATGAATCAAATTCAACTCCAGGTATATATATACAGTACAGCATGAAATGAGAGCTTTATAATTGTCTGACACTGTGACAGTGTCTGTCTGCAGTTATCCAAAACATAGTCATTCACACAACTGTGCACATGTAGGAGTATGTATAAATTACCATATAACACCTGAGGGAAGATAACCTTCTAGGATAGACAGCCATTATACTGAAAAGGCAGGCCAAGATTTTATCTGGAGTAAGTCTTGGGACTCGGGGTATGCTTGGCATAATGGATTTATATATCTCACTTTATCCATCAAAAATCTGTGAGGATAAGGCTTTCAAAGTATAAATGGGCAAATAGTTCTGATCAATTATCATGTTTTTGGTCAATTCATGATAAACTTAAAGATGTGGTGATTAATTATACAAAACAAGGGCTTAAATACTCGTTGCTGGAATGTTCAATACAAAAGAATGAAAATTAGGTGTGAAAGTTATCAAAATATACCTGCAGGAGGCTACGAATTTTGACTTATCAAACCATCATACCCCCAGCTTCATTGATGAAAAAAATGGATAAACTTTACATTTTGCAGGTTAATACTATAGAAAACAATGTTGCACGAGAGTACGAAAAATCTGAACAATGTTCATCCCTGTTCTGCTACCTACAGTTACAGGTGTTCCACATCTGTGGCAACATTTACATCACATTAACAGGTCAGGTTACAGGTGTGTTTAAGGCTTGTTCCAAATGACAGACTCACACACAAAATATTTAATATCACTATGATTGTATTTCCAGTCTCACTTGTAGGTCTAGTTACCTGAGTGTTTTTTTACCCTGAATAAATGAATAAATGACATGCCCATTTCATATACAGTATGCCACATCATCGTGACTTTGATCTCAATCAATGACAAGTCCATGCTATATGCTAAATAAACAAACCATGGCTAGCTGTGATATTGGTGATCTATCTGTAGCTTGTGCCATTTTTGTGTCAAGTTCATTTCTAAAGATACTCAAGCTTCGTAGCTTCTTCTTGAGTGTAAATGTGAAGAAATCGTGACACCTGCCTATATGGCACCCCACCTGGAAAATTGATCATACATCATAAAATCTTCGGTGATCGCGTGTTCTTGGGGACAGCAACTCGCTATAATTTCCAGAATGGTACATACGAAAAGCAAAGGTTTTAAACAGTCAACGAAGATTCTAAGAAAAGGGGTTCGGTGTGAGATGGAAATTATAGACTGAGAGAAAGAGACCGATTGGAAAATATATAAGGACTCAAACCTCAAGTTTGGCGTTGACTTGGAAGATTGTCTGCGCCTTGTGGCACAGTTGGGCGAAGGCCGAGCTTAGCGCCGTCATCTTCTGCCGTCCCTCGAAGGTTAGCTCGCACTGGTCCGGGTCCACCTCGCCCAGGAGCAGGTCCAAATCCACGAAAGCCTTGTCGAACTCCTTTTCCAGTAGCTCGAGCCATCGGAACATCGTCGCCGCTGCCGCCATCTTGAATGAGGTTGTGTAAGGGGTTTCGGGAACTCTCGTCTTACCCAAGACAAGGCCCCATCAACAAGTTCGCGCCGTAGACTACTTATGGAAAATACGATAATAGTCTATGCATTTTAATACCTGCCTTCTTTCTGATCAATTGAGTAACGTTAAAACATTTAGTCACCCATTTTGCAGTTGTCTGTTTAGTATGAAAGTGCAATTGAATGACAAGTGGAACCAAATATTTGATTTTTTTTCCTTAAATACGTTACTTCGCACAGTAATTTTTACCCGTATCTATCAATATAAAATGTGACATTCTGTCTTCCACCACAGAAATTGCCTTTCAAGAGAGGACAAATAATGGAACTGCACGAAAAAGATTCCCTCTGGAAGGCACCACAAATTAAGGGTACTCCGAAGTCCCCATAAGACCCTAAGGAGCTGAAGTTGTTGAAAAGAAGGTGAGAGCGCTCCAACACGCTAAGTAGGTAATACAACAATTTCAGCTTATAAATACATTTGGAAAATATTACACTTTATTTCATTAACATCTTTTATCCAAAATAAACGTAACGTATCTTTGAAGCTATCATTTGATCACGTTTCTTGATAGTCTACTTTATGTTTGCTTGTCTTCACTGCCAACGCGGAAGTCTCGTAAGAAATGCGAACTCTCGCGAAGTGTGGCTACGAGAAGGTGCGGCCTGTCGTTCACCATGTAGCCGTTGGATGGCGCTCTAGCACCGATGATGATCCAATATTGTATGACGTGAGCAAGGACGTTCAACGTGAGACAACAACAAGGATGAAGATTTTGGAAAGGTATTAGCCATATTTTAGCCGCCGAGTCTTTTTCGTCCTCTGACCATGCCATGCCAAATGGTCTCAAATCAAGCGGGTCCAGACCTAATGGAAATCAAACTGATCCCCAACTCAAAAAGAAATTGACTCACCGGAATTTTCGCCGGCCTTCATCAGTTACTAGTATCAAGGACGTTCAACATATATATCAAATACTGTAGACACGTGATTTTCCGCATGCGTGACGTCACTGGGTCAAAGTTCGTCGGAAGTCGGCACCGCCCCTCCGTCCCGATTGAGAGAAGGCTAGTAGATAGGGAAATGTGGTCTTGCGATATCTGGCAGTTCTACATTTGAACTTGCACGGTTTGGCAGCAGCCACTTCGAGAAAGTTGTGGACCTCAACAAGGAGGTAGCAAACTTACAATATACATTTGTAATTCGTGTCGTCTGTTACTTAAATATGGGAGTGACAATTACTTGAGAGCCAAATATAACTAACAAAGTTGCAATGGGGACCTAGAATTATAGAAATATGTAGTCTAAAGGGACAGAAAGAAATAACTAGATCCAGAACGAATGACAGACGGGGTTTTCTTTATTTACAACAGAAGCATAACGCTAACGCTAACCCTATGGTGTTGGGTTTTTATAGTATAACGAGTTCCTACTTGCTTACAATTTAAGTAGACGCCATCATCCATGGCCCTAAAATGATCGTTTTATTATCAACAACGAAAATGTAACTGCCATTGTAAGAAAAGAAGAAAACGAAAATGAACACTTCTTACTTATGTATTTTCTCAACTGTCGACCGTTTATAAATTAAAGTATTACGTTAAAAGTCACCACCCTACTTGTGCGCGGGGAGATAGAATTATCCCACTGGCACTGCTAAGTACAAACTTACAAAATGATCACAAGAATAATGACACCTTACAAAAATTAAGGATTTGTTAAATGGACTCACACTTATCATTATTATAGTCCACTGGATTAACATACAATGACTCCTTTTTTAAGCCGATATCACAATAAAACGCTAAAAAGTCATATTTACAATAGAAGGCGGATTTTAATATCCACATCTATCCAGCTCAAACAAACGAAAACATAAGGTTCAAAAGATATTTCATACCCAACACTAGCACCATTTTTATTTCTGTTAACATATTAATATTTCTACCCCCTTTCCTGCTTAAATATGCGAAATTCTATCTCGTAAGGGAGTTACGTGGAAACATCACAAATACTCGTCATATGCAATGACGTATCTGTACTTGTCTCGTAAGACGTAATAAGTACTATGACATATGGGTATTGGTGATTGCATCACTTGTAGCTTGAATGTCTTTTGAAGGAAGCGTACTTGTCCCAGTTTGTATTCTGCTAACCGAGTCTGGATAGAAGCACGGAAAATGTTCTGAAGCGATGTCGCGGCCGTAGCACATCTCTACGTAGGGCAGCCGACGACAGGAAACAAGGAGTCCTCTTATTGGTCACAGCGTGTTCTCGTCAGACTAAAGCACAAGAAATGCTTTTCAGCTGGGACTTCCGCGTAATTATATGATGCACAATATTCAGAATTTGTGATCTTAAGGTGTTACGTTGGAGCAAGGACATTCTACAAGGACGTCTGTAGAACGTCCTTGTTGAAAGGAAACTAATTCTGTTGTCAGTCCTTCTGTAGAACGTCCTTGGTTGGAGCGATGTTGGAGCGTGTTCAGTACCCCTCCCGGCAGAGGTTGTAGTCTCCTTTGGTCCAGAAGCAGATCTGTGCGAACTTGAGAGGCGTGATGCGCGTGCCCACGTTGTAGTCACGTGGTGCGCCGTCCTGGTTCACCCACTGGTGACCTGGGAACGAGAACAAGCAAATCGTTACCCTCTTTAGTACCAGGCTTCAGAAACGGCCGAAAGAGTAGAAATTGTACTCTCCAAGCTGAGGTTTGGGTTTTGGCTTATTTTTTGGGGTGTTTTTAGCCTTTTCTATTGGGCTTTCTTTTTTGATATAAAATCGATACCAGTGTAAAAAAAGAAAGCATAAAACACGCCCAAAATAAGCCAAAACCCAAACCTCAGCTTGGATCGAGAGTACAATTTCTACTCTTTCGGCTCTTTCGGGGGAGTTGGTCCGTCAAAGGAGTATTTGCCGCCTCCTAAAGGCCTGACAGAGGCTAACAAACCATTACAACCTGAATTGAGAAGTTTCATTTTTGGCGACGCTTCTGGGGAAATCAGTGTAACTGTACAACGGCATTCAAATATTCCGAAAATGTCAAAGATACTAAAGATACAAGGTTTCAAACTTTGACAAAACTACGTATACAAACCTGAAAAGACGCCGATGATTTTCCGCTGCCACTTGTGCACAGTGTCGTTCCAGTTCCGGATGTAGATACCCGCACCGGAAGTGCCGGGCTGAGCGTCACAGTGCTGGTACAGGACGTCAGCGGTGTTCTCCATCACACTGCAGTACCTGCGGAAACCGAAAGGGGGCCGTCCTTATTCAGGGTACAAGTTCAGGTGCAGGTTCTGCCATTACAACCTTTCCATGGGCATCGCAATTTAATGCTTGCTAGTTAGTACATGTATTAGCCACTACGAGGTTTTGGAAGCGGCTAGTGAGTAGAAATTGCCTCCCGAAAACTCCTTCAGCAAACCAACTCCCCTAGCATGATGTTACCTGTCTATTTGGCCAATTTATACTCTTTCCTGCCGCTTCCGAAGCCTGGTAGAGTCTAAGTTAGTATACCTATAATCTCATTTCCTTACTTGTGTACTATGACCATTTTTAATCATTATAAATAATATATAGACATTTGTTTATTCGTTATCTTAATCACTTGTCCTCACCTGTAAAGCAGCCTGTCCTCCTGGTCGTTGTCGAACCCCGTGAAATGGATCCGCCTACCGGGCGCCGTGTTAACTGCAGAACTGACGCCGATGTCCATATATGGGCGGTCTGTCGATTCTTTCAGCTCCACAACCGCGTAGTCATACCTGTAACGGGAAGGGATGTGTTTAGTTGTTTGTTTGTTTGTTTGTTTGTTTGTTTGTTTGTTTGTTTGTTTGTTTGTTAGAGACTCTGGCACAAAACTAGAAAGGTAGCATTTCCAAAGCAAATGCAAACTGTTAACCTTCACATGGTCTAGCCCAACAAACTGCTGCTTTGTTTATTCATAAGGTACTCAAGCACATTTAAACGTATGTGACCAGCCCCTCCAACTCCTGCTACATAATGTAACCTAACACCACAGGGTGTCTGCTACAGCACCCAGTTTACCATGGTGACAGCCGCCTGATCCAGGTCATTGACCTTATGTGTTTGCAACGGAAAAAGAAACAGAGCAAAAACAATGTGTTTTATAACAAACACATGCACATTTAGGCATTCCTATTCATATTTATCTTCAAACATATTAGCCAGCAGTGATGGGTTATTTTTGATAGCATGTACATTTGCCACACACGTTCCTGAACAAGACGAAGGAGGGAAATGCATGAACATCCGTTTCCGCCAGGGGGGGCTTCACTTACTTGACGGCCTCAATTTCCGGATTGTCTTCTTCGTCCACCTCACGTCGGCTGCGGCTTTTGGTCTTTCGTTTCTTTGTCTTCGTTTCTTTGTCTTTGTCGGGGCTGACGGATGGACGGACGGACGCATGGATGGATGGATTGATGGATGGAAGGGAGGATAGAGGCATGCAGGTATGGATGGAAGGCGGGAGGGTGGAAGAATGGATGGTAAACTTGCGAAGTTGGCAACGTAAAGGCAACGTAAAATGTGAAGTCCCAAGGTTTGGTCCAAGCTGCGTAGGTTTGCTTCAGTGTATGGTATGCAGACAGAGCTACGTGTTTGTATTAGGCTATCTTTGTTTTGTAACATACGGAGTTGTTCTTCATCACACATAACGTTATGTACCGTAGCAACTGTGTTGCTAAGACTTTCCAAGTCTTTATACATTAAACTAGAAGTCGTCCTCCGTAAGAAAAGCATCATCAGCGAGGACCAAACCTTGGTAAACTCTTCAGGACAGCGCTACCGCAAAAAATAAAATAATGCTTATAAATGTACAGACTTGAACAATGCGAATGGACAGTGCAGAAGCAGACAATGCTTGGCGATGTATAGAGCAGAGGCATGGAGACACACAGATGCAGCAACAACATGAGCATATGGGGATGGCAAAGGGGAGGCGAGCTTTTTGACCATCACTGAACATTCTTAGCCTCTTTCGCAGACTTGTGGGCGCTGGCGTTAATTTTTTCGGGGAGCGACGCAACTTATGCCACTGAAGGACGGTTTTCCCGCCTGCCTCACAAGTCTGTGAATGAGGCTAGAACATTCTTGTCAATCATTCATCGGAATAACCCGAACCCCTGACGGGACCACACCACATCTATCGTCTGAAAATGACGTCATGACTCACATGACGTCACTTCTCCCTGTTGCGAATCCCTGACAGTACCACACATCTATCGTCTGAAAATGACGTTATGACTCACATGACGGCCTTCTCCCTGTTCCTGATTTTCTTCCAGGCGGCGGGAATCTGCGTCTTCTTGACCTTGATCCATCTCCACTCCGAGTCCCGGTGCATGCGCATCGTCTCGTTGTAAGGCTGCGACACGATGAAGCCGATCTTCATAGACTTCCGGCCTTTCACGTACCTAGAGCATCGGACGGGGGGGTGGGGGGGGTGGCAAAGGAAGGGGGTATTAAAAGAAAGAACGTCGTAAAGCATTCATTGCATGTGTAAGTTCATGAAAAGAGCCCGGGGGGTCCACCGAACATAGAAAGAGGAAAGAAGAAACCATTTAGAAGAAGAACTGTAGCAAAGGTAAAGGACGAAGGGAAGGTGAAAGGACATTTGGACGTTCGAATGGTATTTGTTGTCTTTTGTTAGTTTGTGTTTTCTCCATTATTCGTTTTACATAAATTTAACACTAGTCTTCCTGGAGTCCGTAAGGGCAATGATGTAAATCACTGTGTGGCTAATACGAAAGGGGTGGGGTGGGGGGTCGCCTGGCTTCCATCCGGGTGATTTGTAGTATTATATAAAACATAAATGACCAAGACAAAGAACGAAATAGAATTAACCAAAAGAAAATGTGAAAGGCATACCTTTTGCCGTTGTGTATACAGTGTGCGGCCGTGAGCACGTGTTTCTCCGATATGAGCACGCCGGTACACCCCGTGGACAGCTTCACGACTGCGCTAAACGGGAAATGCGTCAGGTACTCCTCACCCAGGATGTTAAACCTGGTGTCCACACCGAAAATCTGCCGCTTCTTTCTCCTCGCCTTCTCAGCCATTTCTTTCACTTCTCTCCTGATCTCCTTTTCGGCTTCGGGTACCTCGCTCCATCTGACTTTGGTGAACACGCTGGTTCCGTTCTCAAAGAGAGTCTCGTACGAAAGGTAGTCGTTGAACTCGCTGAGAGAAGGTGTGGGGAGGGTTTTCTCGCAGTCTGGTCCGCAGGACGTGTTGTGTTCCTCCTCTACTTCCCCCGAAAAATCGGTTTCCACAACCTCTAAAACATCCTCGGTTGCAAGGTCCGGTAGAGGGCCGTTCGCCCATGTCCAAGCCCTGAGCTCGCGCGGAATGTGTTCCTCCGTTAGTCTGTTCGCGGCGTTGTCGGGTTTGTGCTGGTTGCAGCACGCCAGGCGGGCCCACAGGCACAGCAGCGCGGCGACCCACGGTCTCGGTCTCGGCAACATCTTCACTGGCGCCCGGAGACGGCGGGTACTCCACTCGGTACTACGTCAAGACGATCTGTAACGACATGAAAGAAATGTTGATATCATTGTGGTACTACTACACGTATCTCTTTTGTGAATTGACTGAAAAGGACCAAAAAGGGGGAGGGATCCTAACAAAACCGGTACTCACTCACCCACCCACTCACTCACTCACTCACTCACTCACTCACTCACTCACCCACTCACTCACTCTCTACTCCTGCTCACTTGCCGGTTTAGCGCCTGTTGTTCCCCGTTTTCCGAGGTTTAGACATGCTTGCACACCTTTGCTGAGGCTTGATGGCAGCCGCTATTTGCCTCTATCCTGTGGTACGGCGTTGAAAACTCGAGTAATTTTCACAGGGTAACTCACTATAAATGGACCTTAGTATCTACCCTAAGTACGGCCTGTGCCAGGTTACAACATCCCAGATCATTAACCACTCTTCAAAGGGCGGGGGTAAGGCATGGAAATGTCAGGGCAGATCCAGGTCGTGTAGGGTCACTGGAGGTACCTTAGACGTGAAAACGGATCCCTCTATTAATGTAAGGAACAAGGATTCACACTGTGCAACTGTCTGTCAGGTTTCAAAGTTTGCAAATGAATCTCCCGTGTCCGTTTGATATTTGAGTTACGATGAACCCACTTCACTAATCTGGAAACGTAGTACTCCTTTTTGTATGACAATAGTCCTAGATCTCACGTCAAATGTTAATGTTAAGTTACTCAAACTCCACCACCCACGCACAAAGCGAATGTCAAACATAGTTTCTCAGAGCTTGCTTAGAAACTGAACAGTCGAAAACTGCAACGTTAGTATGTCACTGGAACATATAGCAACGTTAGCATTGATACAAGTTGCAAATGTATAGCTATAGCGTTAGGTTTTCCCGCCTTTATGACGTCATGTTCAGACGATAAATCCATGAGAAGAAAAGACAATATTTATTTCTCAAATCGCGAGTGAGAAGTCGTCTATCAACACCCTTCGTCTGAACTTGGCGTCTTCTGTACAAAAGGTCTGTGTTCTTAAGATAACAGATATCGGCTGAAAGACTACGGGTCAGTGCAAGTCGCAGACACTTTATCTGTCACTAGTGTAGCGTTCTGTTGAAGGATGGACAGACCGAATCGTTTTTTGAAACCGCTAAACTGTCACTGTTACTGTTGGTACATCAAGAGCTGGGCTACGATTTTCTCTCATATTTTCAGAGATACGTTATACGTACTAGTATATAACGTTATAACGATTCTACATATTCAAAACTTTAAATTTAAAAGCACCCAAGACATATGTCTAGCTTTATGTCTAGCTTTCAGCTTCGAGTCTCAAAAAGTATTGCCATAACATGACTAAGTGAAGAAGGCGTGTGGCACAACGGTGTACCAAGTAACTTTCTGATGTGTGTACAGTGACAGAATGTCAGAGTGATTAGTACGTTCCTTGCCTCCTCCTCTGACCCGTGAGAGGTAATAGGTTTGCCCGCAACAGACGGGATACAGGCTTCATTCAAGTTCATTGTACCACAGCACAGCTGGGTTTACATAACTACATTCATACGTTACCTGATCGTACTTCATTAGTAACTTTATCAGATATACATGTTCATGTATAACAAAAGAGCTGCTTTATCTAGGCACTATCTAACTACATTCGTCCGTTACATGATCATACTTCATTAGTAACTTTATCAGATATACATGTACATGTATAACAAAAGAGCTTCTTTATGTAGACACTTGAGTTTGTATTGCTAATATCACCACCGTTTAAAGTATAAAAGAAAGTTTTATACATGTACATATATAACAAAAGACACTTCTTCCGTGGGCACTTAATGTTCTCTTTAGCTTGTATTTCTTATACCTTTGAAACAATGCAAGAAAGTGTTATGCATTTAACGTTACATAATATAACAAGAGAGGCTTTTTCCGTGGGCACTTTAGTTTGTATCGTTAGAATCAATACGTCAAATAATGCAAGAAAATGACCCCTGCCACTGCCACTATTTTTATTTAATTAAGTGGTAGACTGATACGTTGGTAAACTATACCGTTTTCTCACTCAATGAAATTTATGCTGAACGAAAAAGAGCCAATTCAGTCCTACTTGTCTTACGCCGGAACACAATACAGTCTTCACACACGTACGGTAGGGTTTGTAGTGTATATACACTGACAGTAAAGTAAGCTTTGACCGTAATTTAAGGTTTACTTGTTCTTAACTACTGTACTGTTCAGAAGGGCTCGTACAAAGAGCCTTCAGTGCACAGCGCAGTGGAGAGAGCCTCTGTGGATACAGACTGTTGTTTCTGGGAGAGACAAGACGCGACAGGGAACAAACAGCAAGGAAAACACAAGGACGCGTTCGTTCCGGAAACAAAGCGTATTTTAGGCGTCTGAAGTCATATATGAAACTAACATTCGTGACTGCGATACATAAAGTAGTGACCCTTGGTACAAACTTGTATCCTCTCTCCCTCTCTCTCTCTCTCCCTCTCTCTCTCTCCCTGCCTCTCTCTGTGTATGTGTCTGTCTCTCTTCCTCTCTCTCTTTCGCTCTCTCTCCCTCTCTCTCTCACTATCTTCCTCCCTCCTCTTCTCTCTCTCTCACTAGGTCTCTTTCTACGATCCTTTCTTGCTTTCTTCCTTGTGTGGAGCCAGCAACTACGCCAGACTTTTCTGCTGAAAGCTGCCAAACCATCACTAACTGAATTTTCCCCTTGTTGTACTCAACACACATTACGGTAACAGTGTGGCCACTGACATTTGGTGCAGGGTAACGTTACTGATGTTAAACCCGTTCCAAGACTTTCTTATCAAACGACATTCCCCCCATTTACGTTCCTGAGATAACTCGTGCGTCATGCTAGCCGAGCTTTGTGGTTTGACCTGTTTGACCTTCGTGGTTACCCATGTCTTAGTGAGCTGTTGTTTCAGTATTAAAATCCTGACTGACTGCCAGAATCTACCTTGTCATAAGTGTCTTGAACATCAACGGTACAGCAAAATCCTGTCCATGCCTTCTACTCTAGCCCTTGAGTTACAAACTATGGGCAATGGTTAGCTATGTAAAACACGTTTCTTCGTCTTTTCGTTGTGTTATCTTTGAATATCAATTCCTAAGATGTTGCACATGATCTAGTTTGATATCGTGTGCGTATGTTTCCTGGTTCGTGCGTCATTCGACGTCCAAGAAACGTTTGACCTTGAGTTTGCTATGCCCAGCTTCGATAGAACACCAGCTGATATTGTCAATGTCAAATGTTAGTCAAAGCGAGTCTGGTGGCAGGTGTAACAGCTCGAGTCATCCCCCGACCAGACTGTACCTGGGTATAATTTGACAGAGGGTACATTTTGCCGTGTCACACCGGATTGGACGCCAACTACAAGAAAATCATCACACTATAGAGCATGAGAGCTTAGCTTTTTTGTAGGTTGTCTGAGAACGGGAATAGACCGTTCCATAAGCCACGCCCCCTTAGCAACGCCCTAGCAACTCGAAATAGAACAGGGGGTTCGATGCGTTCGATCAGGATCGGTCTATTCCGAGATTGTGACACCGGGAGGTCGTTGACCTTTGCTCCCGAGGGTGTTCGAATTTGTCCGTCGCGTCGGATGTCGGAAATTCCCGACGAGATGGACATTGCGTCCGAAATGCTCCGACGTCCCCCGACGCCGATTTGTTATACCCTGAAGGAAAGCTGTGGAAAGTCATTGGCATAGTTACGATACCGAATCCAGCAAATGCTCCATGACTGCTCTAAAGAATCCATTTGGCCTATATGACAATACCATTTTCTCTCTGGTTCTACAATACAGTTACGACAGAAAACATATTGCATTCAACCACAGTATGTCACAATGTTCTCTATCTAGCGCGATGCCTTCTAAATCAGGACATGACATACAAAAGCTGGAAGTTCTGCTGGCTGCAGTACCAGGAAATGCTGATAAGAGGCCCAAAATCGACCTTGACCTTTATTTGTCCTCTCAAGACCTACCAACATAACTAGTATCATCACAGTCCAGCCAAACCAAAATATACGGAAACTCAGACACACAGATAGACATCATTGCCAGTTTTAACAGGTGGAACAAGGAAAAACTCACAGTTTCAGACAACCTATGATAAAAAGAGAGCAAAGAAAAATGTCACACGCATCACTGATGTAATGATATCTAACGAACTAACGTGTTATTTCCGAACGGTGTCTGCAACCATTTAAAACCATTAAAGCCATTACTGCCAGTTTCAACAAGAGTTGCTCCCAAAGGTGGTCACAAGGCAATGACTCACTCCTGACTCACTCCCATCTGGGAAGGTAATTTCCAGGGTCCTTGCCATTTGAAATGTACAATGTCATATATCACAGAAAGGCAAACTTTAAGTGCATTAGATCTATATTAAACGTTCCGTCAACACCGAGAAAGTTGTGGCGAATACAATGTACATACAGAATACAGAGTTTTAGGATTAGGCTTTTTGAAGGCCAGGTTGGAGCTTGCGTTTTTTCACTAATATGATGAGTTTCACTATTTTGATGATGCTGTCGTAATTAGAATTGAATACATCTGCTTTTCATATGACATCGACCATTCAGCAATATGGCATCGACCGTTTCAAATGACAACGACCTGTTTACAAGAGTGAAACGCCCATCTGTGAAACTTCTCTAGTTGTTACGGAACAGTTTAGAACAGCAGGCGAGTACCTGGCATACCCTGTGTCGGACCTAACATGTCCATAAGTCAACATGTTGACTGGTACGTGATGACAAGGTCGGGCAATGTCCCCTCCCCTTTCTACCCTCTCGTCTCTCCTGTCAGAGGAAATGTTAAAGTTGAGTCTGTACTGCTTTCTCCTGTACACGTCTTTGCGTTAAATCATTTTGATAGATTTTTAAGTGTTTCCCCATTGAATCGCAAAGTTGTTCATTTATAACCACCTGTTTAACAAGAGCCGACGTTTCGATGACCGTCTGTTATCTTGATCAGGGCAATTATGACATATTCACCAACCTGATAAAATTA